TTACACGCTGCGAACAGATGTTGAAAGCATTACACATTGATTCAGGAAAATTACGCCCTTGTCGTGAACAAAAAGCTTCTGGGAAGTAACTGGCGCTACAATCGGGACGGAAATGCCTTCCATTCCAACCAAGGAGCAAGAGAATTAAGTCTGGTGATAAAAGTCAGGTGGGTGATCAAATCGGCAAATGGACACAGACAACAGCGGGAGACAACCAAACGATAGACTAATAATGACCACACTTGGATACCTGAACTATTTCAGCAAATCGTAGATAACATTCAACCTGCTTAGGTTGTTTGTGGAGAACTAGACGAATCCAGTCTCGTGGAATTTCCTAAGATGAGATATTCTAAGCCACAGAACTTCACCATAGACACTTACCAAATTAAACAGGCCAAATCATGCACAGCAGAGAATTTGTATGCCAGTGGTCATTATGAACTTGTGTTACACAAGGAGCAAACGAGGTTTATCCAAGAACAAATAAACCTTTGAAGGTCGTCTATCTGTTCTAGCTTTTAGTCCTATATTTAATAAGGCACTTTTTCGTTCGTTCCCCGGGTTCAGGACATGGATTGAAAGAAGCAAGGAGCAAACGAGGTTTATCCAAGAACAAATAAACCTTTGAAGGTCGTCTATCTGTTCTAGCTTTTAGTCCTATATTTAATAAGGCACTTTTTCGTTCGTTCCCCGGGTTCAGGACATGGATTGAAATATGTTTCAACTTTTACGCTTCCACCAAGCTTCAATGCTTTCAGAAATGAGGAAATGCAAACACAAATTGCACAAATTTGGAAACATACCGACGAAAGAAGAAAACTGCTGGGTCAGCCTCATACCAGGAAGATCAAGTTACGTGAACAGGCCCTGCAATCGCGGTACACCGTTCTTAAGTGGTCCGTTCGATGTGATGAACCCTGAACGTTATAAGAAATGTCCTTCTCAAATGCGATATATTTACCCGCCAGTCTCGCACTAACTGAAAATATGTCTACATCATAATATTTGCCCTTAAAACACATCCCTCTTTGTGTCACACGCCTCAGACTGTCCAATATTTTACATAATAGACGGTTTGAGGCTTATATCCTTTACATAATAAAAGCATTTTGGAAGCTTACGTATGTGGATTCTATAATAAGCTGATAGTTTTTAACACCGAAGACAAATTAAGTAAAGTTCAAGTCAAAAACCTGTCAGCATATCACGGACCATCGCGAGGGGTACAGATGAACCGTTACACCTTTAGTTCCAGATCGCGTTTCTTGTTTTTTCTAGTTTCGCTGCTCCCGGAGATTTTACAAAATGAAGTCATCAAGACTATACATTGTTTACAATTTTGTGACATCAATTAAGTTCGGTAATATTTAAAGAGGTTTCGGTATCCTAAAATTCCAATATCATTGTGTGTTTGCGAGGCTTCTCCGTGCTGCTTGTTGACATTCCATTTCACAATGTTGTTTTTATGCGTGCACGAGGTGAATTTCACATCGATCAGTGAATCGGAAAGGAAATTGTTACGTTATGTCCGTAGTTTTAAAATAGCTCTACCCATTCATTTCGGTGAAGAGGGTCTTAAACGCTGTAAGAGCGACGTTTACGGGGAACTTTCCACACGCCAACTAAAATAGTATTTTAGGAATCCGTGTGCAACAATTATTACAGCTTACAGTCTAAGGGTGACAACTCTCATTTGGTAACGCCAATCGGGAACCATCGGCACTTTTCGTAATGTTTTTTCGTTTATGGAAAGTGCCGACGGTTCCCGACTGTTGGTAACGCATGGTTTAGATCTATACATGTACAGGGTCTATTATTATCATTAATGATGACACTCTAAACACCGTAACTAGTAATTAACCAATCCGTTTTATGAGATAATTGTATTATTTTAGTCGTTTCCTTTTACCTTCATACATCAAGATGGTTCTGATGCAAGTTGGTTCCTTAATTAGATGGATTCTTCCTTCTTCGGTTGTGTCAGCGCCGTCCACTACATCCTCCAAAGGTGCGCCAACTAAGGATGCAACTATGGGTGATCAGTCCCCAGCCTGGGACCGTCTAGCCTGTTCGACCGTGTCCCTTTCATGTCTGCTGCTGTTAACACTGCTGGTATTTGGTCATACAGAAGCCACTTGTGCCTGATACACGTTGACGTCACCGTACACAGTCCATCATCGCGTATATTTTCAATAGTCTCTCTTGTATGGAGTGGTCTTATGATTTGAACCCTACTGTTCTCCCTGCTTCCTCCACGGCCACTGTGTGATGCTGCCATTGCCGACTGAACTTTTCAGCTGCTTCCTTGCCTTCTTTCGTTCGTATGCCTCCACACGCAGTGCCAGGCCTCTGGCTGGTGATGACGAGCTCCTCTGAGACGCCCATCCGTCCCTTTAGGTTCGCTCTCGTGCATCAGTCCCCTAGCTGATGTTGCCATGGTTCCTGCTTCCTCCGTATCCCCCTTTGCTAGATCTCCGGCTCTATTGAGTTGACGAACTTTGGACATTTGATCACTTTTTGCGGTCTCTTGACACTTTATGTGTTTCCTAACGTGTCTGTCAATGATATAGAATCGTCCTCGATACTCCAAAGGTTACGCTCATTCACACCCTCTGCAACCCTGGAATATGTCAAAGCGAAATTAACGGCATTCGTCTAGCTATTTCATTGGTCTCAAGGAAATAAACCAGACCAATCGCATGGCTGAGTTACCGGACCTTTGAAGATATTACAGAGGAGCGGCATCCCACTGCAAAGTTTACTCTCACGTGGCCGTGATATTCTTTTGATGTACACCCAAGAATCGAACTAGTCTTCGTGTCTCATTGACAATTTGGCACACACTGAGTCGTCGATTTCGGCATGACATGTTGCAGGGGTGTAGAGGAGGCACAGTACCTAACCCAGTGGTAGGACGTCGCGAATGGTTGCGGGTTCGACTCACGGCATGGCACTGTGTTGTATCTTTGAGCAAGATACTTAACTCCGCTTGTTCCAGTCTACTCAGCTGTAAATGAGTACGTGGTTGGGCAGTGCTGGAATTGTAGAATGCTAGCTGTGAGCGACGAAATGGTAGCACCGGCTGTATTCACCCCAGGAAGTTGAGAAAGATATTGGCTGGTTGAAAAGGCCCTATAACCACGGATAATAATTTGTAAACCGCTTTGAGACGACCTACGAACTAGGTTGTGATAAAGCGGTATATAAGAACCTCGAATTATTATTTATTTATTATTACAGAAGATAAGTGAGTGTAACCCTTGAGTATCGAGGATAGTCATATATGCGTCTCGGTGAATGTGCTATAGTTTAAAGTGCTATGTACATCCCGGCTTTTTCCTTTAAATGTACGATAAGAAACTAACGTTTTGTATCTTTATTTTGTCGGCATTTAAACCAATAGCAATTGATGTATCATGCAACATATATATTGCGATATAAACATAAGCAAGTAGGGTTGTTGGGTAGCGCAGTTGGTACAAGTAGTACACTCGCATTTCAACTGCAGTTCAGTCACCCGATCGGACGTGAAAAGGTATGGAATCTGCGATTATTACAATCCGGTTTTCTCCCACTTTCAGACCATCTGTGCATTACGATCCGGAAAAACAAAAGTTATAAATAGAGGTTGATAAAATGTATAATCGTTGAAAATCAACCACATGCTGTCAGCATTGAATGGCTATGCTGACGTCACGACAATGTGCTATATATATATAGATATGGTGCAGGTACGTGGAGACACTGGTGAAACGCAAGAATAAGAATAGAGGACCAAGGAACCATGCAAAGATTGTCAACTTCGTTGAAGCAGGCTACATTCTTTTGATGTACATCAAACCACAAGGAATTCAGAGTTTCCTACAGCTATATATCTGAAAATAACATGTTAATTTTCACTAAATTTCTAATTATATATGAAAAACCGTGATTTTCACGGTTGACTGCGGCGTTCAAGTTTTACCCCCTTGAAATACACATTATCGTGGTTTTCTAAATTATTAGATGAAAAATAAACATTTTTGTAACTGTCACATTTAGAAAATAATGATAGAAATTATTGTAAAATTTTATAATTTTTTTTATAAACGATCGTGTGAATGAGATATTAAAATATCCTTATATTCCTGGTACGGGGTTTTAGTCCGGGTCCGGGAATCGTGTAACCGGTCCGGGAACGGGGTATAAGATTTACCTACCACAGACGGTCACACTAATTTGCGCCATAGGAGATTTAACGCCATAGGTGCGCCATAGGAGTTTTTGCACGCCATAGCAAAATGTGAGTGTTTGATACACGAAATAATTCGATTTTTCCATCGGTATACTCATTTAACATGTTTTGGTAAAATATCATTTAAAAAAAAATGTGTACTTTAGAAAATCGATTTTGATTCCGAAGCACTTTAATTTACACTAATTTGCGCCATACGTGTTTTTTCACGCCACAGCAAAATATAAGAATTATTTTCAGCAAATAACTGTGTTTTTCCTTTTGTATATGCAATAAACAGGTTGTGGTAAAGTTTCATTCTTAAAAAATGTTTATTTTGTTAGGAAATCGACAAAATATTTCTTCGCGATTCATAAGTCAATTACAAGGGAAGTAACTCGTACATTTGCTAAAAACGCCATAGCAATGAATAGGACAAGACTAGTACTTGACTGGGTTTTTTTTATTTTTTATTTATGATTTGTAAACAAAAAACACGTATGGCGCAAAATTTAGTGTAAAAGTGCTTCGTAATCAAGATCGATTTTCTAACAAAGTACACATTTTTTTTTAAATGATACTTTACCAAAACATGTTAGATGAGTATACCAATGGAAAAATCGAAATATTTCGTGGATAAAACACTCACATTTTGCTATGGCGTGCAAAAACTCCTATGACGCACTTATGGCGCTAAATCTCCTGTGGCGCAAATTAGTGAGACCCACCACCGTATACGTGCGCGCAGGTGCGGGTTCCAATTTAAGTGGATAAAATCCTTATATGGTGTTCTCCAAGAATAAAAAGTGTAAGGCTATAAATAGATTTGAATAGTTCGTGAGTCAGAAACAAATTTTCGCTGTCCCACATGGAACCACGGACTTAGATCTAATATAATTCTGTGATGGAACTGAGATTTTGTTACAGCTATATTTGGACCTAAACAGAGATGTTCAGGGTAAATTTGCACGTTTTGGGGGTTAAAATTGAAAAAAAGCCACTCCTACTCGGAACACCTCAGTCCTGTGTGCCCTTTTGGTGACCACATTACGACTTCCCGAGTTTCGTCCCCTTGGACGCGAACTTTCTGTAAATATTCCTGAACTAATAAAATTGTTTCATCCAAATATAGTATATATCTACCACCTTGTTAAACAACTCGTTAAATTATTTGCTGTACACGCTGTGTATATATATATATAACCAATCGGATGTGTTGGTTCGTCACGCTCAAATGACTAACGTACTCGTCTTCCTGTTTTGTCGTTCAGATCGCGTCAAGTCGTTCATAAACCCTTACCAGTCGAGCTGAGGATATTTCTACTAGACCTAAATCAAGATGTCGATGGTAAGTGTTGTCTACATGTTTGGATCGTAATATATTGCTGTAACTTCTACCAAAAACATCGACTCTATAGTCTATATCATAGACAAAACCTAAATCGGGAAATTATTAAAGCTTCATCTGCAGACAGGAAAAGGAAGCAAATGTTCTCATATGCCCGGGACTGCGTAATTGCGAAACCCTCCCTTTTTAGGAGGGCTACTTCCGATTTTGGAGCCTTACATTTAGTACTTTCAACCAGTGAGTTTGCTAAACTACTCCTATATTCTCGGATCTAATTATTTCGTCTGCGAGAACAACTCAAAATATGTCATTTTAAAGGGTCATTTGTCTTTAGGGGAGGTTAAACGTTAGTGCAGGCAAATTCGCCATGCACCAATATTCGCCACCCTATGACGAAAATGCTATATGACTTCATAATACATAAGATGTGACGTAAATAACGTCACCATAATCAAGCCTTCAAACACTTTTACAAGAAGAGGTATATGAAGGGAAAAGTTATTTTAATAATCAAAACAGTTATGAAATATCATTTAACGCAACAAATCTTAAACATTTGGTCTGTGCGACGGACATCACGTCAACTGAACTCAGTAATCTGAGGTCTGTTGGTTGTAATTTAGTGTAAATGTATTACATACAAACTGAGAATACCCATATCTCAATGCTAATTGCAGTTTCATGGTCGACTGAGCCGTCAATGCAAGTAAATTGTTTTTCTAAAAGTCAGTGTACTTTGGTACATATCCAATGCTTGTTTATGGAAATGACGCTCGGAAAGATTTGATAATTCATTTCCCATTTTCATGCAATATGTATTTAGAAAACAATCAACCAGTATATTGTAATATATATGTAGTATCGGCCTACGAAACCTAAATCCTTCCAAAGCGTCGGGGCCAGATAACATTCCAAATCGTGTTCTAAACGAGTGTGCAGACCACATAGCACCCATTCTGACACAAATCTTCAAGACCACAATAACAACCGGCTACCAGTAGACTGGCTAATTACAAACATTTCCTGCATCTTCAAAAAGGGAGACAAACACTCAGCAGAAAATTATCGTCCAGTTTCACTAACATCAGTACCATGTAAAATTCTAGAACACATAATATGCAAACATATATAAGAACATCTGGACAGACAAAAGGTACTAACATCTTCTGATTAGGATACTCCTGTGAAACACAACTCATTACCACCATTGACGACCTACTGAAATCTTCTGACCGTGGCAAACATTATTTAGTGGACATGGCAATACTGGACTTCTCCAAGGCCTTTGACACAGTTCCCCATGACAGACTACTCCACAAGCTAGATTCCTATGGGATCAGAGGACCTCTGCACCAATGGTTAAAATCCTTCCTAACTCGCAGGAAGATGCGGGTAGCCATAGAGGGAGAACTCTCTGAAGAGGCAACGGTTGAGTCAGAAGTACCACAAGGAACAGTACTAGGACCCCTACTCTTCCTTTGCCATATAAATGACTTGCCAGACTCTGTGAAATCAACAGTTAGACTTTTCGCAGATGACTGCCTATTCTATCGAGAAATAATCTTAAAAAAGGACCACAAAACACTTCAAGACGACCTTTAACAGCTCGAAACTTGGGCTTCAAACTGGGGGATGAAATTTAATGCCAAAAAATGATACATTCTTTGTATTAAGAAGAAAAAGCAAAACACATACCAACTTAATGGACACAACTTAGATCATGTACGGACATGCCCATACCCAGGATTACAACTATCAGGGGATATGAAGTGGAAAGAACATATATAGCAAGTACCACAAAAAAGGCCAGTTCTACCTTAGGCTTCCTACCACGCTACCTACAACACTGCCCCAGAGAATGTAGAAAGACAGCATACATTGCTCTTGTCAGATCCATCTTAGAATATGGAGCAATAATCTGGGACCCTTACATAAAGGCGAACAATAACAAATTGGAAAACATCCAACAGAGAGGGGCGCGTTTCATCCAGAAGGATTACAGAACGAGGGAAGAGGGATTCATGACCAACTACTCAAGGAGCTACAACTTTCACCACTAGCACCAAGACGAAAAACAACAGAGACTGTCATTCTATTATGAAATAGAGCAAATTCCATCAATGCCTAGCAAAGACTTTATTAACTTCCAACATGAAAAAAGGAAAACACGACAGCGTATATTCCAGGACTGCGAAACATCAAGGCCAATTCCAAATTCAATCAGGAACAATAACAGAGCAGTCATAATACCCAACAGCAACACGGAACAATACAGAAACTCATTCTTTGTGCGAACAGCCACAGATTGGAACCACCTGGACGACATTACAGTCGGGGCGCAAGGAATAGAGGCATTTAAACCATCAATCCCTACCAACTAGGATTAAACGAAGCTAAGTATCGCATGCGTACTCAACCCCCTCCGTATTAAAGCCATTTTGGTCTCTGTGGAGTATAACATATAGAACATATAGATAGATATTTAAAAAAATATTTTTGCGTCTAAAATATTCAGCCATCTTACAACACAAGTCCTGTCCTGGAGCCACTCATCCCGGCAGACTCAACTGGTTTTTTTTAATCGGCAACGATTTGGAAGTTTAGATTTGTTCAGGATTGAGTCTTTATTGCAATGCATGTAAATTGACCTCATCTCAGCCGATCCGTGCCATCATACTCAAACAGCATTAACCAGTTTCTTCAAGTTATCGAAAAGTAACTCACAGCTAAGAAAAGCCGTTTATTTCAATGTTAATCATTGTTACACACACACATTTGGAGCTGTTCTTATCAGTAGTCACGACTTGTTTAAACATACAAAATTTTACTTTTAAACACTTCCATTACTTGCAAACTAGTGAAATGATTGAAGGTGGCGAAACTGCCTGCACCTTTGAGCAAAACCACAGAAGGCCTGATGACGTCACAAATGTTGCTGCGTGACATCATTCAGGTGTTTTTACAACACTGTTTATTTAAAGGAATTTCAGTCAAATCTTCTGTATTGGCGTGCTCGTTGCCATTTTAATACATGCGTATTTGGTGGAATTATTAACTGAAACCCTTACTAATGTGACGAATTTGCCTTCACTAACGTTACATTTTATTTATGTTTTAATTTTGAGCATGCAAAATCTCCCCCATTAAAATTTCAAAAAGTTGGCAAGTATGGGAATGTTCTAGAAAAATATTGAAATCCTTCCATACGTACAGAAGGAGAAGGATTAACTGGTCAGTAAATGATCCAGAGTTCTACTATGCATTTTTAAACCCACCATTGTCAGATGATGGGCTGTTCCAATGGCCCTTCAATCATGTTCTGTCTGTCTGTCAATCCAGCTGTCCTTAAAGTTAAACAATTCTTGTAAGCATTGTTTCTCAGAAAGTACCAGAGGGATATTAATTTGTCAAAGTTAACATGTTTGTTTTTGTTCCCCATGGTCCCTTGTTATGTGTAAAGGGTTAAAGGAATGATCATAAACCGAGATGGCAGACAGGTCATCTTGAACTTGAGAGTTAGAGGATGTTGATGCTTTTTAGCTCACCTGGCACGAAGTGCCAAGTGAGCTTATGCCGTGGTGCGGCGTCCGTCGTCCGTC